AATTTCGTAAAACTGTAACTTGTAGATATTTTCGGAACATTCAACTTATAATATTTTGGTAAACAGTTTGAGGTATATTATTTATGTTTTGTAACATACACCATAGGTAACATTGACACAATATCAACATTTTCTTATACATATTTTTAAGGGGTAAACAGAGTTGCATGATTACCTAAAACATTTAAAATAGTCTGAAGGAAAACCACAGACACAGCGGATTTGTGCTAAATGAAAGTAAAGAGGAGTTAAAATGCGTCCTCTTTATATAATTATCGTGTCAAGGAGCTGCCAGTCGTCGTACAAAATTGTGAGGAGATTTTCATAATTAAAAAAAATATATGAAGCTAACTAAGCAACATAGTTCTAGGTATCATGCTATCGTACAAACAACACAGAACATGGATTTATTTATACTATTATGTCCCTTAATGCTATAAAGTGTTCAAAAACATGTCTTATACGTTATACGCAGATAATAAAATGTAATATTGAAGTGTATATAATAATATATAGGATAGTAGTAACATTAATCATAAGTCTGAGAGGAGACATCACACAGAACATTCTATAATTATGATCTAAAATATATCCTATTCTCAGAATAAGCGTTTCAGTTTGTTAGAAAGTGGACTATTAAATTCATAAGTTGCATTTTAACTTTTTTTGTGATAAATAGTTCTATGTCCATTTGAGAGGTGTCGTGTCGCTTAAGCTAGTTGCACTTAATATATTGATTTAAGGCATGGAGTTTGCAGTCGCAATTTTTTGGATTGAAGTTTTGTTTGAGATTTTTTGGTATCCAAAATCTAAAAATCATTTTTCCTATAATCCATAAACATGCATTATAGATTTTTTTTGATTCTCTCTATCAAAAATGACTGCTTTAAGAACCTGCCAAGCAATTTAGAGGCAGGTAAGAGTGTATCAATAAACTGTGGACCAATAAAGACACTTCACAACTGGATCATTTTTCACGTAATGCTATATTCCAGAAGGTCTCATCCTATACATTCTATCACAGAAAAAATACACGATTTCTCTCATTTCCTAAAGTTGTGATATCATACCAGGCAGTACGTGAAATTTTTGAATAGTTTTGAAGGCAGACTTTGGTATACTCTGACTGTCCAACATTCTAAAATATAGCATTTTATTTCATAATATAACATGTGCTAAAATGTACAATACGTTTTGATATGACTAAAAAATTCGTGTTCAAATGTCTTTTTCCCAAAATAGTTAATTCATTGTCTTTTTCTAAACATATTTCTTACAGCTGAAATTTACAATAATTGTATTAGCGCTTCTCCATAGTGGACAAAGAAAATATATTCAGTTGCTGTAAAAATTACTTCAAAACAATGACGTGAATAATCAAAATTCCTATGCAGGATGTTTCCAAATCATGGAGCAAAGATTCAGGGAGTCACTATTTAAGGCTGTGTTGTCCTTTAAGACGATTTAATTAAAACCGCTTCGTTTGGGGCTAAGCATTTCGAAATTTAATTGCTTCTACTGTCAAAAATCACACTTGGAGCTTCGGGCAGAACGCAAAACTTCCGCTGGAGTTGTGTGAGTTGATAATTTTGTATAGTGCGATAGGGAACCTAGGGGGCTCAAGTCCTGAAATCAAGCAGCAATCATGACGAAATTGATCCAGTAAAACATGACTCGAATATTTAAAGTATAAAGGTGGTCAAGTTATTAATATACGAGGTCTGCAGTTTTTCCTATTGTGTTTTAAAAATGAGTGACATCTATTTTGAGCGATGGTGTGCTATCAAGTTTTGCTTCAGACTTGGGCACAGCAACGAAAACTCTTGCGAAACTTCAGGAGACCTACGGAGATATTGTTTTGTCAAGAGCCCAGGTTTTTCTGTGATTTAAAGCATTTTCAGAAGGGAGAGAGTCGATTGAAGATGAACCACGGAGCGGATGACCTTCATCTTCAAAAACCGATGAAAATATCGACAGAATCCGGGATCTTGTGCATTCAGATCTGTCTGTTGACAGTTAGAATGGTCGAGGAAGAGTTAAATCTGAGCACACCACCGTTCATCAGATCAAGAACATCACGATAATACTCCTTGTCACCCAGCAATATGAGTAAACGAGTTTTTGGTCATAAAAATATTCCAGTGGCTCCTCAGTCTTCTTATTCGCCTGACTTGAAACTTTGTGACTTTTTATCTTCCCGAAGTTGAAAAATTACCTCAAGAACACCCATTTTGGGACAATCGAAAACATTCAAACGGCTGTAACCGACCAGCTGAATGAAGGCTAATCCAGTATCGGAGTACCGGCACTGTTATGAGGAGTGGAAGAACCGTCTCCAGCGCTGTGTGGCTTCAGAAGGCAGTTATTTAATGGAGACAATATAAAATTGTAATTATATTTGACGTTCGTAAGAATGTCAATGTGACCGTCAAAATTTCAAAATTTCATATAAGTTTTTAATGTTTTGCGAAGTCTGTCATGTATACTAAGTGACATATAAATCCGAACACCCAGTTGAAATGGTTTTATTTTAATAAAATTTTGTACAAGTACTTAATGAAGCATAGCAAGTAAATGATAAAAATTTCAAAATGATTGCACTGCTTTAAAGCCCTTTGACCTTCAATAATGTGTGGATGCACCCTGATGTGCTACTACGCATTCTCCAACGCGCCTAGGCATGCTTCTGATCAGGTGGTCAATGTCCTCCTGTGGTATCTCATTCCAGGCAACCACCAACTCCTCTCGAAGTGCTTCTAGAGTCTGAGGCGGACGTTGCAAATTGAGCAATCTCCTACCCATCATATCCCCACACGTGCTCAATTGGGGATAAGTCGGGAGATCTTGGTGGCCATGGTAACAATGTGACATCATTATGTTGAAAGAAGTCTATTGTGACTCTTGCAACATGTGGTCGGGCATTATCTTGTTGAAAAGTTGGATCTGCCAGGGTGTCAAGATAGGGTAAAAGATGGGGTTCTAGAACTTCGTGGATATAACGCTGCGCGTTCATGTTACCCTCTGATGACGATTAAAGTGACCTGGAACCATAAGCTATAGCACTCCAAACCATAACTCCAACAGTGTGATGAACATGTCTTTCAACAAAAAACTGTGGATTCCTCCTTTCACCACGTCGCCTTCTAACCCTGGCACGACCATCGTGCATGCCTAAACAAAATCGAGACTCGTCACTAAAGACATACTGTTCCATTCCTGATCCCAGAGTGACCGTTGTCTGCACCACTTAAGGCGATTACGTCGGTGTTCTCGAGTTAAAGGGAAGACCCAGTGTGACCGGTATGAAAACAAGCCAAAACTTCTCATTCGTCGGTAAACACTTCGCATGCTATAGCTTATGGTTCCAGGTCACCTTTAATCTTCATCAGAGGTAACATGAACGCGTAGCGTTATATCCACGAAGTTCTAGAACCCCATCTTTTACCCTATGTTGACACCCTGGCAGATCCAACTTTCCAACAAGATAATGCCCGACCACATGTTGCAAGAGTCACAATAGACTTCTTTCAACATAATGATGTCACATTGTTACCATGGCCACCAAGATCTTCCGACTTATTCCCAATTGAGCACGTGTGGGATATGATGGGTAGGAGATTGCTCAATTTGCAACGTTCTCCTGAGACTCTAGAAGCACTTCGAGAGGAGTTGGTGGTTGCCTGGAATGAGATGCCACAGGAGGACATTGACCACCTGATCAGAAGCATGCCTAGGCGCGTTGGAGAATGCGTAGCACATCAGGGTGCATCCACACATTATTAAAGGTCAAAGGGCTTTAAAGCAGTGCAATCATTTTGAAATTTTTATCATTTACTTATTATACTTCATTAAGTACTTATACAAAATTTCATTAAAATAAAACCATTTAAACTGGGTGTTCGGATTTATATGTCACTTAGTATATATTCGGTCTGTCTGTGTGTTGGCGTTATTTTATTCTCGTAAGCTCTGGAACGGCTGTACAGAGTTGGATGGAATTTTGGAAGCCGCATGCCATAGTACGTGATGCTGCTTCAAACGTTTACTTTGAAGAATTTAGAAAATTTAGTTTCGTCGTTTTCCGTCTACTTAGTTATAGCGTAGTTAGAAGCTTTATTGCATGGAATATCTCAAAAAATCATCCATTGAATTTCCAATCAATGTTTTGGTAGCATCCTATATAGATGGAATGTTCACCACTTTACATTCATACAAATCACATACTTCGAGTTATATTTTCTCAGTTTACATTTTTTCATTAGAGTCTTAGATCATTAGACCGATTCATTAGTTTTTGTTCGATTATATATGGAAATTCGCATCAGTTGAGATGATTGTCATTAGACAGTATGCAATCAAGGGAATAATACTTTAGATTAGATCTTCCACGTTAGCGTGGCTCTAAGTTTAAAATACGCGGTTGTCCGGTTAAGTTTCTTTACGATTACGTACTGTATATATATATATATATATATATATATATGATGTTTCATTAAACATATTTAACGCTTTGGGTTATACACAAGGAAAATATACATACATAACATGTAGTTTTTAATTACTTATAAACACACATTGGCGTTGGATCCTCGTAAAAATTCATATTTTATGATGAAGCGTTTCAGTAGCATGGACAAGACGTGTGCCATTTGTTGTGTATCGTGTCCTTCCCTGGAGGAGATAATTTTGTAACAATGGGGCTTTTCTCGACGGAGTTCCAATTTATGTCTCGAGCGTAATTTTGCTGTCTAGGCGATAAGGTGCCACATGCGAAGTGGGATATGATTGATCTATAGATATTATGCTTGGAGTGTGATTCAATGAAGTTACTACTTGATTTCATGAGGTAATATTATATAGTACGGACACGTTCATTGCTGCAATATGAGGATTTTTTTACATGAAAAGCCTCACTAGTGCACTGATGGTCCTGACAAAACCTACGCTCATGCTATTGCACTACACGGAACTACTTGAAGTTTTTTGGAAGGCGTGGGAAGTATAGAGTCAATGTACTTGACACCATTTTTTCCAGAAAATTTAATTGTTACTCTAGGATCCCTCCATTTCCGACAGTGGACACTTTTTTGCACATTTTTAAATAGCATATCCTTGTCTGTTCAGTGATCGTTCACAATACATATCAACAAACAACGTTATACGTGTTGTGGCATAGCGTATTTGATTTGAGCGTGTTGTTGTCAGAATGGCCAACTAGATCCGTCGGCATCGTTTACCTGACGGTGTGCCAACAGGCAACGGCCTTTCTTGGACTGTGCATCATGTCGATCCAGTGGTCTCTTTCGGGGCCGCTCTCTTTAGGCCCTATCACGCAGCTACCTATCAGGGGATTGGTGCCTATTAGGTCGTTACCTTGGTCGAAAATTAGTACCTGAAACAAGATTTATGCTGTCACCAGTTGAGCTCTAAAACTCAATTCTATTCTTCTATTGATTAACGTATAGACAATCATATACCGAGTGACATAAAAGGGTAAACGTCTACGTATGTTTATCCGATTTTAATAATTTTTGGCATATATGTTCAGTGTCCCTTACTAGTAAAATTATTCAAATTTCAGCTTGATTCGTCAACTGACTGCAGAAGCTGGTTCAATAATGTGTTGAGGATCCAAATTTCTGATGCAGTCATTGACAGGCATGGCATCGTGCTGATAAGGTGGTCGATATCCTCTTGGGCTAACTCATTCCAGGCTACTGCAACTTCGTGGGTAAGAGATCCTAAAGTCTGTGGAGGGTGTTGCAAATTCAGGAACCTGCGACATATCAGGTCCTAGACATGTTTAACTGGAGATAGGTCAGGCGATCGTGGTGGCCAAGGTAAACGGTTGATGCGATGTTGATCCATTTTTTTTTTTATATACTCCAACTACCACGAAGGCCTAAGGCCTAAGCACCCATTGGGTACCGTGGGCTATAGGGGGATACATGGGAAAGGGGGGACGCCACACGGACTCTGGCGAGGGAACACGTGTGCATGCAACATGCACACATTCTGGCTCCGCCTACGAGAACCGCCGGGTGGTACCTCCGCGTTCGACAGTCAGAGAGCATCTACCACCTACGGACAATCACAACATCCATAGCCAAGAGAAAAATTTCTCCTGGGACGGGACTCGAACCCGCACAGCGCACGGCGACTGATCAGGAGACCGAAGAGTCTACTACTGCGGCCACCGCGGCTCCATGAAGGCTAACGATGTTCTGGCAATGTGCGGTCTGGCATTGTCTTGCTGAAAAATCGGGTTTTGGATGGTGGTTATGTATGGAATAAGGCTCCACTATTAGTGGTGATCTACTACCATAAGTATTAGCATCAGCCCAGGTGACGCTTTCTGTCACATTGTGGGTCACGCCTGCCAACACGTCGCCTTCTCACTCTTGCCCAACCATCGTGCATCCCCAGACAGAAGCGGGATCGTCACTAAAGACCGCCTGATCCCATTCCATGTCCCATAGAGCTCTTTTTCTACACCAGAGCAAACGGTTACGTCGATGTTCAGCTGTGAGAGGTAGCACCCAATGTGGGCGATAAGAGAAAAGGCCAAACTGTCGTATTCGGCGATGTACCGTACGCATACCAAATATCCTTCCACGCTCTGCAAACCACTGATTAGCGATGGCTCGAGTACTAATGAATCTGTCTCTCAGAGCGAGAAGTCTTAACCGGCGGTCTTGTCGCTCTGTGGTTCCTCTGGGACATCCAGAACCCTTCGCTCGCTGTCCTCGGCCTTCCGACAATTTGATCACCCTCAAATTCACGTGTCCGGGACACATTCAAATTCTACGCACTCTAGGCATTTTGAGCAATCACAAAAAGGCTTCTCTATAAGCTATACGAAATTCAACATGTAACTGACACCTTAAATGTACGAAAACTGAATGCTTCTTTATCACCAAACAACACACGCAGCCACCACAACAACTTAACAGAAAAACGTGAGCATTTTATCACTTGTTGTTCATGGCAAGATAAATCGATATGTATAAAATTCTTGAATTCTAATAAACATACGTAGATGTTTACCTTTTTTTGTCACTCAGTATATATTGTTATTTAGTGTTCAAAAATGGATCTGAAGGATACTACCGCTATATATGAGGCAGCAACAGATCACATAAATTAATTCAAAAATAAAATTTTCTGCTGTCTCGTGAATGTCGATATAGTCTCTCTTTTTGGTTTCTCTAATGCCTATTTTAATTGGATATCTTCATTGGTTAACTTGTTCCACCTGAAGATACCCAATCAAAATAGGCATTAGAGAGTCCACAATAGGGATTGAAGATCCAAGCGCGATCTATGAGATAGTAGCAGAACCAAACACTATAACCTGTCCAAAAGTTGACTTCTAAATTCATTTTTCCATCCATTGTGTGTTCATAGATATATGACCTTTCAGATTCATTTTGGACGCGGGAATATATTATATGGTAGGCTACGTTCAGGTTTATGTAAGTATAGTTCAAACATAACTTTCACTTATGCCATATATTGGTGTAGTATCGTAAGTACTCGACTAATACGTAAAAGTTTGAGCGATTTTTGTTTTTTCTCTTTTGCCTCCTCTTTACTCTATCGCAACTGGATCGATCTTCAAAAACTACAAAGATTTTTCATCATTGGATTAGTAGTAAGCTTGTGTCAATATTTTATATAAATCGGAGCTATACTTTCCAAATTATAGGTGGGAAAAGGATTAGCGGACAGATGGACCGATAGACAGACTCAAGAAAATGAGTGACATAGTATTTCGTGATGTAGATGTCATATAATATCCAAAAAACATAACATTTTGGAAAATTTTTAATACTTATAGTGAAAAAGTACTCTTCAAATCTGTTTAATATGGGTAGAGATTAGATCTAAAACAATGTAAGTATCACATACCTCTATGGCAGCATTGGGTACGTTACTTGAAGACAAGCTAAAAGTCAGTGCTTCATTCCATACTGGATTACAACTTCCCTTCTTTGATGCAGTTTTCTTCTTTTCACTCTCTTACCATTCACTTGTAGGTAAACCTTCACAAACGGATCTGTAAAGTGAGTAATACAAACACAGTTATTATTTAGGCTACTTTGAGACCCATACTTAGGGAAAAGTGAGCTGAAATATAGGGTGTACAGGAATCCATGCAAAATTTGAGTCAAATAGATACAGAATAGAATCTATCTTAATAACCTCTCTGTTTTATATTTTATGTTCAATACAGTTTTTATTTGTGAGTTGTTATGAGTTATTAGTTTAACTGCTCATTTCAGCGCACAAGCGAGCATTTGCTCAGTTCCGATCAACTAACTCCCATGTCACAATCCTCCTGACAAGTATGGCGCTGTTAGAGGAATTACTCACAAGAAAGAGGTACTTACTCTAGTTGGCATGGTAGTCCCGAGGGGGACTGCCCCCAGAGTGGGGAATCCCCTCACGTCTCAGCCCAACTAGCTTTTATAGTCAATAATATTCTCACTTTGGCCGATAAGAATACACCATTGTTGATTATGCATACTCATCACCGGATGTGACTTACAGGGTGGTCACTCCAGACAATTCATTAAGAAATATTGCTTCTAAGGAAAACGTCTGTGTTTTCCACTTGATTCAAATTTTGCATGAGTTTACGGACACCCTTCCGATACCTTCAGGCTACACTGCTCGATAGGGACTAAGGAAAATATTTTTAAATATCAAGTAACCAAATAAGTTCGTGCGGTTTTTAGAAACAATAAGACACTATTTATATGTCGAAGTAATTACCATCACATTCAATGACCTTTTGCCAACGTGGAACCACTTTTTATATGCCGGTATTGTAGAACTCCCTGGATTTGGAGTAAAAAAATTGGCGGACTGCATTACACCATCTGGAGTTGTGAACTGTCGGTGCCTCATACAGTTGTCAAGAGACAAAAAAGGCTTCCTTGGGCGAAATGTCGAGGGAATATGGCGGGTGCGGTAACGTTTCCCAGCCGAGTTCAGAAATTTTTTCTCGGGTCACTTTTGGCGTTATCCTGCAAGAATACCACTTTCCTCCGATTGATCAACGAAGGCTGTTTCTGGATGAGTGCTGCTTGTGCTCGTTGAAGCTGCTCAAAATACATGTTAGCAGTGATGGTTTGACCCCTTTCCAAAAACTCATAATGGACAATTCCAGTTGCTGTCCACCAAACACACAACAAAACCTTGTTTGGGTGCAAGGAAGCCTTGGGCGTGCGTGGACAACCAATGATACGAACGCTTAGAATTCGAATACAAGATCCATTTTCCGTCGCAGGTTAACAACGGATTAAGGAATGGTTGATTAGCGTTGCGTGAAATGTTTGCTGACCAAATGGTAAGACGACTTAATTTGTTATGATTTGTCAGTTCATGTGGGATCCATTTGCTTAACTTCCACGTCTTTCCTAGCTGATGAAGATGCAATCGAATAGTTTCAGGACTCACTCTGAACATTTCTGCAAGTTGTGAGAAAAGAAGGATTCATACTATGGTGACAATAGGTAACAAACGCTATCGTGCTATCGATCAACAACATCCATGGCAATGTGCGATATACAGCAACCGCACGAACTTATTTGGTTACCTGATACTTTTAGAAACCAATAATTGTTGTAGATTAAGTGCAGGTTCATGTTACATACCAAGTGATTCTTTCGCTTCTGACAAAAACAAATTCCTAGCTTTCAATAGAACTACAGTAACACGTTCGGCAGATGGCAAATAACTCAAGGATATCAGCACTTCTTGGATATCTTCTTTAGGCTTCTTGGTTCTTGCTATCTCTCCCCAAATCTCTATGCTGTTGGCTATATCGACGTCGCTTAGGTTCATCGTTACTTCACCTGCAATGATAAAGTAGATTCACATTAGTTTATAGTTTTGATCGAAAAATAGTTGTTCGGTATTTTTTTTTCTTTAAGGTTCCATAGAGACAGTAGTAGCGTTAGTCGTCGGCCACGGTTGACGCCCTCGTGCCCAAGGAGGCCTCGTAAGAAAGTTATAAATATATCCTATTTCTTGACCGTTGGGCAATCCTGGGTTTAAATGAAATGGAATCCAGAGCCGTCAACTTGAAAAAGACCATACCGCGCGTGATACTCAGGGAATACATAAGTCAATTCATTCTATTTCAGGATGCAAACATAGTAGATTCAACATCGATGTATCTATAAATCGATGTTTTTCATAGTTTTGTAGAACAAATGAGCCCAATGAACTAATAGATAAGGAGCTCTTTAGAAGTTAATTGGGTCCGATATTCAAACTACAAATCCAAAACAATCCAAACATACTATACAACAAAATCAAACATAACCAGAAACCACAAAATGACAAAAAAGTTTAATGTGAAAATGTCAAAGCAAAAATTGCCATGGACATTGACCGAAGTGCTCTTAGAGACATCCATATTGAATTGAGGGTCGTGACTATGATATAAAACTCTTAAAACATATTGTAAGAACTCTATTGAAACATATTATCTCATTTCAAGTGTCTGTGATCTCGAATCAATGACATAATTTCAAGAGAATATGTGCTCTTGGAATCTATAAGAGAACTTTGTCAAGAATTGTTCGATACTTCAAAAAGGTGAAAACAGCGAAATACAGCGTTTCGTACTATATGAAGAAGTCCAGCTTTTAAAATCTTATCCAGTGCATTTCAAGACCTACTTGAGAATCGCTATGAGCCCAAAGAGACTATCTGCTCTATCAGTTGAAGCGGAAATAGCGGCTGGTGTTTGTTATGAAACAATCTTGAAACAATTCAGTGAGGTTGGTTTTCTACATTATGTTTTTAAGTTACTAAAACTATAATTACTTAAAATAAGAAATTTTAATCTGTTTCAGCAGCAAAAAAATAGACCACTCAACTAAACATGATATTATTTGAATGAAATTTTATATACCTACAGTTTAAACTTAGGCAAGAGGGACTCGTAATTAATTTTTGAAGTGAAATCATTTACTGTATTGATGGATTTCCCTAATAATGTTTAGGCCACCTCAATCCCGTATACATACAATCGTCACGGTAGTATAATGCACGTGCCGTTCAACTGAAATGCTTTCCTTCGCGGCACCTCGCTCGTGCTCATCTATAAAGCATTCTTTAAATAGAACCGATATCATCACCAAAAACAGTTATATACTTATATACTTTTCTCGGTCACGGTTCTGTTTAGGAATATATCATGACAAGAGCTGGGGTCGATCAAGCGACCAGACGGCTCGTTCACACAGTCCAGGGGGAAACCTTGGAGATCCTTGCGCAAACCCACTTTCCAGGAAGTATAACATCTGATGACTTAGTTGGCCAATTCCCGGAGAATCGGGCGGATAAACGACCCCACAGACTGGCAGGTTGTCAGAACCATAGTAACACCTGATGCGGTTAAAGGAGCGATAAAATAATTTAAGCCCTTCAAATCACCAGGAGAGGATGGCATATATCCAGCTCTTCTACAAGTTGGACTGGATATATTGATGCCATTCCTCATAGCACTCTACAGAGCGTGGAATCACATACCACATGGAATGTGACAAGGGTAGTCTATATGCCCAAACCTGGATGGACAGATCCAGTGGCGAAGTCACTCAGACCAATTAGTCTGACCTCATTTCTGCTGAAAGGCCTTGAAAAGCTAATTGATAAGTACAGAAGGGGGAGCTCTGGAGGGGCATCCTCTAAAGTCTAAAATAAGGAAACTGCCACAGCGGCCTTTTTGTACATTTAACAAAGCCTTACCAGAATCCCTCAATGAATCAATCGCCTCCACGGGTGTGAATCCTCTAGTCTGCGGCTGGATCAGAAGCATGTTGACATGCAGAATCATAACGACATCCTTACAGGGGAGACAATCAGATTTAAAGCTGTCAGGGGGGTCTCCCTTTTGTGGTCGCTCCTGGTAGATAATCTGATTGCCAGTATTCGCCTGTGGGAGGCCGAGCTTCAAGCATATGCAGACGATCTAGTCGTTCTAGTCAGAGGAAAATCTGGGGAACTTATCTCGGGAACACTCCAGGAGGTGTTAACCGCAATAGCGGATTGCTGCCAAGGGGAAGGAATGTCAATCAACCCGCCAAAAACTGTTTGGTTTGGTCTCATATGGATACCAGGACACACAGGTCTAGAGGTAAACGAGACAGCTGACACTCTGGCGAAGAGTAAGCCAGCGATTGGGATCGCATATAATACGGCTAAAAAAATAATCTTTGCAGAGACGGACAGAAAGATCCATCAATACTGGGAAGGATGAGCAGGGTTAACCCATGCTAAGGCAACTATACCAATCTTGACAAAGAAGGTTACAGACTCTTTGCTATGGCTGAGCAGGAATAGCCTCAAAGCTCTAGTAGGACTGTACATTGGTCATTGCAAATTGCATCACCACGGAAGACGCTTAGTGCAGACTGAGCATGGAGGGATATGAAACGGTCAGGCATGTATTGCCAGAATCAGGTACAACATTCTTGGAGATGTAGTACTCCAAGCAGAAGACCTGAAGGATATTTGTCCAAACTAGTTGATCCACTTTCTCAGGAGGTCGGAGCTACTGGGAAAATATAAATATAGGTGTGAGCCACAATAGACCAAAGAGTCGCTGTGGCGGATCGTCATTGATGCACTCACAAGAAACCTAACCTAACCTAACCTAAGTGTAAAGTTTCCAGTTGACCCATATTGTAGGAGTTATGGCTCCAAAGAGTCGCTGTGGCGGATCGTCATTGATGCACTCACAAGAAACCTAACCTAACCTAACCTAAGTGTAAAGTTTCCAGTTGACCCATATTGTAGGAGTTATGGCTTGTTGCGCCATTACATATGGTCACACCTAGTTTTAATCAGACGAGGTATGATGGCGTAATGGAGAGAAATACTGGTCACATCTCCAAATTCTTGAGAACGCTGTTTCCAACAAGATGATACCCGTTCACATGTTGCTGTAGATAGAATAGACTACCACCTCAATAACGCCCAAGTCATTCTTCTTCTGAGGCGTTTCTAGATCTCGAGAACTTTCGCCCACCGAACATGTGTGTGACTTGATGTAAGAAAAATTATTGGGGGAATGTATACGTCATCGCGATGGCGCAACATATTAGAGAAATCTAGTGATGCCTCAAATGTTTTCATGTCAAAATTTAATCACGACTTCCTCTTGTTTAAGTATACTCCATACAAGATTTCATTCAAATAAAGTCATTTTACTGGGTGTTCTATTTTCTTTGTCACTGAGTATACTTGCTTGCATCGAGTCGCTTCTTATTCAAGCAGTATTTAAATTAAGGTGGAGGTGCATGCGATACTAGTATGGGGACTTCACCAAAATTATTAAACTTGTTAGTTTAGTGTGTACAGGCCTTTGGAACTTCCCTCGAAGTTCCAGCAGTTGACTGGAGGTATTGTATTGGCGAAAATGTGGCTTTTATGGAAGTTGGTCAATAAAGTTAGTTTGCAATTTTGAAGGGTGGTTTCGCGTCTCACTTTGTAAATACCTTCAAACTTTGCCTTTCGAGCCACAAATCTGCTGCTTAATGCAGAGGTAACCCCAAGGTACATTTTAAGATTTAAGGAGCATTATTTCTCAAGGCGTTCGTGGCTGGATGCCACATCTCCACATTTGCAGAGATGTACAAAATCGCTCAAGTAAAATCATTTTTCTGGCGGGTAAATGGTCTTTGATAGTCACCAGTTGTTTAGGGAAGCTCAGAAATTGAGGTAATAGGAGAAATTGGACGTGGCTGTTTTACCTTTCGAGAAAATGTATTCCTAAACACTGATAGAAGAGCTGCTCCCTAAATCATTCACGGGAGAAAACGTCTCGATGTTGTCTACTAGCCTCTAAGGACGAAGTGTACTTTCTGATGGAACGATTAATGATACGAAGAGTCATATTATTTTGCAGAAAAATCATTCAAAAACTTGCTCGACAAATGTCAACAGCTGACAGAAGTTTGGATCTTTCTCCAGGGACGAGAGCCGCGCCGACTTACTCTGTGATTCTAATATCTCGTTTCCAATAATAGGGGCCAGGTTAGGCACAATTTCACCACATATGAAACCCACTCCCGTCACTCACTGTTATTATCTTCTTGTAAGGGGTGAGTTCTTTGGAGAGCTTCAATATTGAGTGCGAAGAGTGCGAACAAAACACAAAAAGTCGTCTCAAGCCAGATGATGCTCCTACTTTTTCTTTCAACGCCTCAAATATTTTAGACATGGCGCCAAATGTCAATCAAAGAGGATATAGTCATACAGAATCGTAAAATAAATCATTTATCTAAATTTTGACAAGAGTAAAGCTACATGTAGGTTTGAAACTTCCTCAAGTAAGGTTCTAGATTCTAGCGCAAAGGTTAAAATCGTTAATTGGCAATACCGAAATGACCATCTCCAAAAGTTTCATCACATCAAGACATTTTACCATATATTATCCTAGCACTAGAACTTACCAATAATGTCATTTCTCGAAAACCTATCATAATCGAACACTTGAAGGACCAGCGTCTTAAACTGAAGTTCTTCGTGTGATACTGGAAACTTGAACATTTGATCGAACAAGGGATTTGGATTGTTGCGGTGTATGGATGTCTGACGTTTTCTAGCGTCCACTTCAGGCAGCAGCGACACGCGAACATAAGGATCTGTGAATCCTCCTTGGTCGCAAGGAGCTAAGTCGTGAGCTAGAAAAAAATGTGAACAGTTCAGAGTTGCTTTATGCTTAAGTATTGTTCTTTTCACGGTTTTTGGCGGTTACGCCACAATGACGTAAGAAATAAGTAAACTGATAGACTATTGACTCTATGTGCGCCATATAAGTCGATAGATACCTAAACCATATTCCGAGAAATATGCACAACATCAGCAAATAACACATACTCTGCAAACAAAAGCGGCTTTTATATTGATTACAATTTCGATCTTCTCTACGTTCGTTCTGAAACACCTTGTGGCTGCAACCTCACCGACGAGTAAGTTGTCTGACAATTTAAATCTGTCCTGTTTTCTTGCTAGCATCACAATTGTGTTTTCAGAATCCTGATGAAGGCTCCATAGAGAATGCCGAAAGCTTGATTTTATCGTCAAAAGAGTCAACTTAAGCCTAAGAGTTTTGCCAATTTTCCCAATTAACAATTAATTGTGTATATATATATTTCGACAAAATTCAAGCAAAGAGGACTCTTTATACTTTATTAATCTCTAGCTTTCAATGGACTTTGCCATCTTCATCAGGAGCTGCAATAACATTGAAAATAAATAGCAACTATAGTGCAAAATGATTTTAAATTAACTTACAGTCGTATGTGAGATTGTTGCTAAATGTTATTAACGTATTAACAATCTGACATACGACTGTAAGTTAATTTAAAATCATTTTGCACAATAGTTGCTATTTCTGCTCAATCTTATTGCAGCTCCTGATGAAGATGGCAAAGTCCATTGAAAGCTAGAGATTAATAAAGTATGTATAAAGATTCCTCTTTGCTTGAATTTTGTCGAAGTACCCAACAAAAGGCGAAAGCTTTATTTGACCTAGCAAAAACCTTGAAATGCCTGCACATGGTTTGCTTTTTGGAGTAGATCTGTGGGTAGGAAGTATGTTGTAGGGGCACTTTTTGGTTTCGATACGCTATCTTCCGTTTCTCTCATAAGAGCTCTAAACCAGCTCGTCCAATCTCTGATACTTTTTAATCAGGACAACAGTTCCCGTCCCAAGTCACGCGTTTATGGATTTTCCGTTTAATAGTAATTTCAAGTAATTTATATTTGTTATTTCTTAGAACATGGTCCAGATATGCAGTCTTTTTAATCTTTTTTTCGCTACTGAAAATTGGTAAAGTCAGTTGCTTATGTTTTTTTGAGATAAACAAGTTTCCAAATGCATTCATTACATGACATCAAGACTCGATTTTGTTACAAATAATTAATTACCTTCAATCAAGTGCACTATAAAATCGCTCTTGTCAAAATCATACGATAATCTAAAATGTAGTCTTCCCAGTCCAGCACTACTACTTTTTCCAGCTATTCCACCTGCAAAGAAAATAGTATTATTAATCATATCAACAGACCTGCAAAACTTGAAATAAAATTGAATAACGAGTTCGATTAACATTTTCAAGTTATAAAATCTATGAATTTTGGAGAACGATCGCAAATTCTGACGTTTGCTAACATTTGTCTAAAAATTGTGTGAATACGTACAATATAAAAAATACGAGGGCCAATTTGAACCGCTTGCGCATCGTGCCCGTGCATCCTGGCAAGTGACGTCCGTACAACCTGAGACGCTCTTGTTAAGTATTTAACTACGGCGTCATTACGTCTCACATCTCTGTCGGAGTTGGTTGTGTGGCTATACTGCTTTGCGAAGTGCGCTCAAAGAAGTTCATCCTGCTCTGAATGCTGAGAGGTGCTATGAAACATTGAAAATATTCAAAATCTCCGATGGGGCCTGCTCTCTAGTGGCGTCATACTGCTTCATGACAATGCGCACCCTCACGTTCCGGTCGAACCAATAGTCCTGTCATAGCACCATCAGACTCTCATCTGTTTCCAAAACTTGATTATTTCCTTGGTAGCAAGCGCTTGGAAAATGATGACATGTTGAAAGAAGCAGTTACTAACTGGTTTAAGGGCCAGGCGGCAACGTTCTTTGACGGTGAGTTTCAAAAGCTGGTGCCACGACTTGATAAATGTTCAAATATTTATGGTGACCTACAAATGAGACCACACGTAAAAAGATCCGACTGATATTAAAAAAGTTATGGCCGAAAACTAAGGCAAACTGCAGGTCTTGGCACGTGTTGGTAATTCGACGACGGTTTCTCGCAGATATTTGAAGTTCTTCAAATTCGTAGGATTGGTACTTCTAAATATCCACAACAAAATTGGAGTAGATTGGTCAAGTAGTTTGTGAGAATTTCTAATTGTTTATCCCAAGACATCTGTTTCCCGGCCATCACAACTAGTTTTTTTGAGCAATATACATGGGTTAGATCAAAGAGCATTTTATAGCAAAATACACGAGTTTACCTTGCTGATATGAATCGAAAACTATTCCGGAAGATAAATATTACTTTTAAGCAAAAAATGATGGGTTACGTTTTTCATCTAAAAAAATTCAAACATTTCGTATTTGTGAGTAACTCGCAACAAAAGCTGATAGACACATCCGCTTTGTTTTAAAATGTGTATAGTAACGTATGTATTACAAATACGAAATGTTGAATTTGCTTTGAAGAAAAAAACGCAACCTTTGTTTTTCGTATAAAAATAACATTTATCTTTCGGAATGGTTTATAATCCATATCGGTAAGGTAAATTAGTGTATTTTGTTGTAAAATGCTCTATGAACTAATCCTGTGTATAGCTCAACAAACTAGTTGTGATGTCCGGAAAACAGGTATTTTGGGCTAAACAATTAGGAATTCTCAAAAAACTACTTGACCATTATACTCCAATTTTACTGTTATTATTCAGAAGTATGAATCCTGCGGATTTGAAGACTTTCAAGAAGTTGCGTAAAATTATCGTCGCATTACCAACAAGTGCCAAAACCTGTATTTTGCCTGGTTTTCGGCCATTTTTGCTATTAGTCGGATCTTTTCACATGTGATCTCATTCTGTAGGTCTCATAAATAAATAAAAATTCTTACATAAAAAGTTTTTTCGTTCCTGTCAACAATTTCGATTGAATCCCAAAAAAACACGTTTTCTCATTCTTTGTTGTCAAATAAAAAGTTTTCCCACAAAAATTAATGTAATCATTTTATGCGTCCATATTTAAAATGCGCCCTTGAACAACTTGCACCAATAAAACCGGACTTTGCAATTATTTCGGGGAAATTTGCTAACATTATTAGACTGTATGTTAGATGAACGAACATTGGAAATATACATTTATGATATTTGCTTAGCGGTGCGCCTGTAGCCTGTCCAGAAAATGCGTCGATCGATGCTCAAGGTCAATAACACACGTCCCGCATTTCTTCCCGCGTATGTTTCTATTTATGTTGCTATATTGAAATTCGTTAAAGTCACAGAGCTTCTGCACTACACGTGAATATGTATTCCTGTTCTTGTTTCGTAAAAACATACATTATCAAAATATACTAAGTGACATATAAATCCGAACACCCAGTTTAAATAGTGAAAAAATTTTCAGCCTTATCAGTTGGACATTCCGGTTTTTATACTGCTTTTTTTAATTCACTAACGCTCTAAAAATGAATATTTCAGCCGCAGTAAAGAATCAACGTTGGCGGATTTTGGTTCTTGACATCCTTTACGATCGGTTACGATGCCTAGAGTACGGAGACCTGTACGATTTCGTCAACTTAGTGAGTTTGATAGGGGCCGTATAGTGGGATTTCAGGAAGCTGGACTTTCTTTTCGGGCAATTGCAGTTAGAGTGCAAAGAAGTGTAGACACTGTGGTTAGGTGTTGTCAGGCATGGCTTCGAGAAGGCCGCACGCAAAGAGCAAGGGGCACTGGACGCCGCCGTAGAACAACAGACCGTGAAGATCGCCGCCTAAGATTATTGGCCTTAAGGGACCGTTTCTCCACTACCAGGTCCATTGCAAATAAATGGTTTGCAGAACACGGAAGACCTATTGGCATGCGAAGTGTTTACCGACGAATGAGAAGTTTTGGCTTGTTTTCATACCGGCCACACTGGGTCCCCCCTTTAACTCGAGAACACCGACGTCTCGATTTTGTTTAGGCATGCACGATGGTCGTGCCAGGGTTAGAAGGCGACGTGGTGAAAGGAGGAATCCACAGTTTTTTGTTGAAAGACATGTTCATCACACTGTTGGAGTTATGGTTTGGGGTGCTATAGCTTATGGTTCCAGGTCACCTTTAATCTTCATCAGAGGTAACATGAACACGCAGCGTTATATGCACGAAGTTCTAGAATCCCATCTTTTACCCTATCTTGACACCCTGGCAGATTCAACTTTCCAACAAGATAATGCCCGACCACATGTTGCAAGAGTCACAATAGACTTCTTTCAACATAATGATGTCACATTGTTACCATGGTCACCAAGATCTTCCTACTTATCCCCAATTGAGCACGTGTGGGATATGATGGGTAGGAGATTGCTCAATTTGCAACGTCCTCCTCAGACTCTAGAAGCACTTCGAGAGGAGTTGGTGGTTGCCTGGAATGAGATACCACAGGAGGACATTGACCACCTGATCAGAAGCATGCCTAGGCGCGTTGGAGAATGCGTAGCACATCAGGGTGCATCCACACATTATTAAAGGTCAAAGGGCTTTAAAGCATTGCAATCATTTTGAAATTTTTATCATTTACTTATTATGCTTATTTAAGTACTTATACAAATTTATTAAAATAAAACCATTTAAACTGGGTGTTCGGATTTATATGTCACTTAGTATAATTACGATCTAACATATATAGTTTTTTCCAAAGATTTACAACATTTTTGCATGCGATCAACACCGATTCGAAATCTGAGAAATTAACAACTATGCCGTAAATCTAAGTTCGACAACGAAAGTCTGAAGAATAACTGTAACATCTATATTGAATTTCAAAAAATAATTGACTATACCTATTGATATTTTTATCACCTGCTGATATAATAGTGCTTGATTGTGTCAGTATTTACACCAATTACTTGATTTGTTTAACGGGTAGTTCAGAGTATTAATCCTTAAGCTGAGTACACACTAGTAGACCCCGTTGCGCAATTTGTCTATAGACAGTCTGGAGACGGTCTCAAGACACGATCTGTAGATGGTCTATAGACATCCTTCTTTGTCTCGTCTAGCGTCCATACGATAATGTGAATTTTTTCTGGGATATGTCTCGGGGTTCCTCAAAATGTCTTTTTTGGTTAACAGAGCAATGATGTTTTTTATGTTTTAATCTTTAATATTATTACACTAGTTATATATATCTAACAAAATATTGCCTTTCTGAGGATTTCTGAGCACTTCCCATATTTTTTTTCAAGTTGGAATTGAACAGATACAACACAATGAATTTAAGGAGCGATAATAGGATAAACTCTAGAAGTTCCACTGAGGTAGAAAAATTACCAGCCCCAAATATCGTTTGCGCCCCCCCTAGACGAAATCCTGAATCCGCCTTTGTTTCCAGTATAGACGATTATTGTTCCTATCAGTTTTGTTTCATAAATCAAGACATTCCATCTCCTAATTCGGATTTTTGAACAAAAGTATACTGAAAAACATTTTAACATATTTTATGACCTTTTGCTTCACCACCAAAAGACAGATGAGTGTTGGCAAGCATTATGACTCATAAGGTTTGAAACATCGCCTACTTTTGTGAAGTCGATTAAAAGTATCAGTGTATGTATCTGTGAAAAGAAGAGCCGGATTCAGCTAATCAGCTTCGTGCAACTCTAGTAACTTTTTATGTCGTCTGACCATTCGAATATTACATTTTCGATTACGAGTACTCGAACAGGATTCCGAGTGCAAGGAGTTGTATATCCAATCCCAATCATTGTGGAAACTTACCTATAAAAAGGGGTCCGTTTTTCTTAACGTACAAATCAGGCTGTATTGCTCCAAGGGGGCTTGCAGGTGGTGCTGTCGTGTATGAATCCGAGGACGCCATCCTAGTGCTGTGGATCAACAGTGGTGAAAGACAACGACTTAGAGTCGCTGTACGAGGAGACGCTGGTACTGGAGAATTGCACGACGAATTTGGAGAACCTGCAAAGGAAGAAGTAATTTTAGCACTTATTTATTTATTTATTTATTCCCAACAGGTAACACCCAATTACAGAAAAAATACAAGAAAAAGTTACATAATTAGCAACAGCGGTAACGCCAAACACAAAAAAAAAAAACTTAAGTAGCACTTCAGAACAAAGTTCTCACTATCAAAAAATAAGTCACAGGAACTGCAAACAAAATGGAAACATGAAAAAATCATATTTAGCGGAGATCTAAACAATAAATTAGTATTACCAATAACCGGATAGAAAGTAATTTGAGCACGATTTCCCAACCTAGGCACACGAAAATTAAGCTTACTTAATATGAATGAACAATCAACTTGATTGTGTATGATTTTGTACAAAAGATGTAGCGCTGATATGTCGCGTCTATGATCCAATGACTATATCAAAAATGTTTAATAAAATAGAATGGTCGAAACCTCTTTCAGGATAATTGCCATAACATTTGTAATACATTATACTTTAAAGCCTTATGCTGCACATATTCAATACTAACCCTTGAATTGTTGTAGATTGGAGACAAAATTAATGAAGCGTATTCCAGCTTACTTCTAATAAATGTAAAATATAAAAGCTTTAGAGTTGATATGTTTGAAAACCCTGACCAATTCCTTACAAAAAAGCCTAGCATCTTAAACGCTGGATTCACCATTTGAGTGATGTGATCCTCGAATGTCAGATTGGCATCGAATACAACACCCAAATCTTTGAACATTTCTGTTCTTTCGAGTAAGTGATCATTGATACTATATATAATCATAATGTATTACATTTTACTTCCTACTAAAAGACAGAACTTTACACTTTGATACATTAACCGTAAGAGAGTTTCTGGAACACCAAGGATGCACCAAGTTCAAGCTGTTTTGAAGAGAGATACAGTCGTGATAGCTCTGAATAGCAGTATAAATTTTTAAGTCATCAGCATAAAGTAAATGCATACCAGGCAATTCCAGCGACAGATCATTGATAAACAATACAAAACACAAAGGACACAAATTGGATCCTTGGGGCACTCCAGATATTGCTGTATAAGAATTAGATTTAAAACCACCAAACTTAATGTACAGATTTCTATCAAATAAATATGATCTGATCAACTTCAATAAAGATTTAGACAACCCAATCATTTCAAGCTTAGAAAGAAGCAGGTAATGATCTATCTGATCAAAGGCCTTTTGAATGTCGGTATAAATGACATCCAACTCACCCTGGTCATCTAATACCTCAGAGATAGTTTGAGTCAGGCATGTCAGATTTGCCAGCAACAAAACCATGTTGGTTAGGAGATAAAGTACAATTTGACAGATTTGAAAATGGTATTATAAATAATAACCTCAAAAATCTTACCAAAATTGCAAAGTATCGCCTATAGTTACAAATATTACTTCTATCGCCACTTTTAAAGACAGGAAATACCTTGGTTATTTTCCAGATACGAGGATAAGAGCATGTTAATAATATCATACTGTAGATCGTGCAAAGTGGTTTTGCCAATACAAGAATACAATCCTTTATTAAAAAACTAGGCACATCTTCATAGCCTGAACTCATTTTATTCTCTAACTTTCTGGAAGCATGAATTATATCCGCTTCACTTACAGTGTTCAGAGATATATTCATACTTGTTAGATTTGAAGTCATGAACTCGGAATTAGAAGAATCAGAATTTATAAACACAGTTGAAAATTTTTTTGCTAAAGCATCGACTATGTCCTGTGACGAGGTACAAGTGTTTTCATTAAACGTCATGTTCCCTGGAAAGTTTTTCTTTTTTGCATTTACAAATGACCAAAAATTAGTGGGATCCTTATTGATCCTATCCTCAGCATTTTTAATGTAAGCTGAATAGGAGACTATAATTTGATTTTTAATCATAGCTCGAAGTCCTGTGAATTTTAAATAACAGTGGCTTGAATGGGTTGCTTTGTACTTATTCCTGAACCTATCCTTTTCTCTTATATTTGAAATAATTTCCTTTGTAAACCAAGGAGGATATGAACAAGGATTCATTTTATATTTAGGAACGTTGTTCTCGAAAATTTCTCTTATGATTGAATAAAAATAACCACATGCTTCATTTACATCATTCATTTCACGAATTGGAGACCAATACGCAATTGAAAATGCGCTGTACATATCAATATAATTTGCCCGCCGAAAATTGAATTGTTGATTATCACCAGACTCAAATCCTTGCATAGTGTAACCAGCACAGAATTCGATTATTATAGCAGGATGATGCAAATCCTCCCTAACTAGTGGTAAGTCATTCCTGACCACTGCAACATTGAAATTAGGAACGAAATGGAACGGCTACTTGTTACATCAGACGCTCATGTGGGTTGTGAGCTTGTGAGTTACTTAGTTAAACTCGACGGCAAGTCTTTGGTAGATGTAGCAAACGCGAAGCTTTTAGGAATCCATGTTGATGCAGCCCTTCGGCGAGAGGTCCACAAAAGCAAATTATTTGAAAGCTATCTGTTTATTATTCTTTTTAGATACGTCTTCAGATCTGTCCTGAATCAGTTATGATGTGAATATGGTATAATTTTTTAGGGTACATCGAGCCACATGCAAGGGATCCTTATATTGCAGAGACGGACATTGAGAATAATAGCTAGAGTGACACCCTGTACATCATGTGAGCAACTATTAGGGCCGTATCGTCAGTTGTTCTTACAGATTTAGGACACCTTTGTGGCCTCCTTGACTTTCATAATCTTTTTTCACCTTCAGAAAGGCTGAGGTATTTCTAGATTTCTAGTGTTCCGTGTCAGGGTCAGCGCTCTCCTATTGTGAGGTTATGTTTTCTTTTTGAATTGTAGTAAATTTTAGGCTGATAAAACAGATGATATAAGTCAAAAGCATGATGCAAACAAATATTTGTTAAATGTTTGTGACATAACCTTAAAATAGATCGCTGACACGGAACGGTAGAAAACTATAAAAATCAAGAAGGCCATAAAAGCGTCATACAATTGAAGGAACGACTGACGATACGGCACTTAAAAAAGTATGGTATATTGACCTTAGAACTGTAGGCCCTCATAAAATGAAATGTACATGACTTTCAACTCAATTCATATTTCGATAGCTACAATATACTCAATAATACTGCAATAGCTATTCCAGCACATAATTTGTCCAATTTTGAAAAAAGTCCTAATTGCACGCACCCGACTAAGGGTACGCTCACAGTGGAGCCGACTATTTGCGATTATGCACGATCGCGATTACGGACGACTTTTCACACGACTTGGTCGTACGACCAGAGTGCACACATTGGAACATACTTATCGGACATACTCGGGAGATTTCTGGTACTTGGTGGGTGTAGTTACTACTTTTAAAAATGAATCCATTATTTTATCTGGCTGAAAACAATCTGCTACGACGTCGAAGGCGAAGGCGTCAGAGGAGGATGGAATGGATAAACGAAATATATATGAAGAGAGAAGAATTTGGCGAGTTCCATCATCTAATGGATGATTTAAAGGAAAACCCCACAAAGTTTTTTGAATATTTCCGTATGAGTTTAGAAACTTTCAAATATATCTTGGAACATGTTAAGTCTGACCTGACTAAATACAACAATTTTCGCCGTGTGATATCCCCTGAAGAGCGTTTGACTGTGACACTGAGGTAAGAAGATAAACAGAATATTGAAATTATAACTTAATTAACTTTTTATTCTTCAACATAAACGTTTTTTTAAACAAATAAATTTTTGAACAAACGTCATTTAACAGAAATAGAACACAAATAAACTTCTTTGTAACTGAACTAAACCTATTTCTAACGGATATAAAAATAAAGAACCTCTCTCAGATTTTTTTGGAGACATTTTGGAACAGATTAGCTTCTTTCTTCGATGTCTGTTGGATCAAAACTTGTGAAAAAAGTCTGAAGCTGTGGCGGATTGTGCTGTGTGGGTGACTGACGAGTTCCTTCCAAAATTACGTAGCTTGTACTGGGTTGGGCGCTCGAACAATCACTTAGCCAGTCTTCACTCGATGACTGGTAGCCTGGACTGGGAGTTGGTAAATATGATGGAGTGGGTTGATTCTTCATGAGAACTTGCATCAAGTCCGCTCGTACGGACAACTGTTGAGAAGCGGGTATTTTTTTAAGAAAAGGTGCAAACTCATTAGGCATTGCATTTCGCTATCCTGCACAGGCCCCTTGAAATATTTCAATTTCTCTTGCTCAATTCTAAGAAACGCTTCATCATACTTAGCTGCTTCATTCTGTCGCCTATTTTTCTTCTTTGGTGGTGACTTGAACAGGCGTTTAGAGGATGATGATGATGATTGTGGTGATTGATGGATTTGTGGTAGCAGAGTTTGTGAAGTCGTTGGTGTCGTTGGCGGTGATTGTTCTGTAGATATATTATCATCGTCATCATGCTCGACATCCGCTTCATTAATGTCAGTTGCCTCAGATTCAGGTTCGGGGACACTACCTTCCAAGGTTCTTGTCGTCATTATATCTTTTAGAAAAACATTAGTTTATAAAATGGCCATTTAGAGGTGTAGTCCTTAGCTGCGTCGCCAGATTTATGTGAAGTAGATTTTTTAAACTTCCTTCTGAAGATATCTCTTAAACCTCTCCATTTTTTCTTTAAGTCGTCACCTGCAACAAAATATATTTTTTTATTCGGTTCATGTCTTGACTATCTATAGTGTAAATGATGTTTTAATTTTATATGTGAGCCCCTTAAAAGCCAAATGGTGTAAGTCACACGAAACGAATTTGGATATATTCAATCTTTTATTGCATTTAATATAGAAAATTGTTAAATGTTAAAATTATTAATCTAAGAATAAAGCACATATTTCCTAACTATATAACATAACAAGATTTTTTTTTAATTTTATTCTGAAATTTCTATACTAAATGCAATAAAACATTGTATATATCCCAATTCGTTTCGTGTGACTTACACCATTTGGCATTTAAGGGGCTCATGTAAAATTGGGTGTGTCCCTCCAAGCTTTGCGCTGCATACCATTGATAAAGGCTGAAAATGCAGTCGAAACGTTTGGAAATAAATATGTTATAGTTTCAAATACCTAACTTATTATTATGTGAACCAAACTTTAAGAAAAATTCGTAAAATATAATATATTTTTTTAGATATCTGGCTACGGGCTCATCCTTTCGGAGTATTGGATTTTCTTTCCGAATGGCTAATAATACAGTTGCCGGTATTGTACACGAAATATGCAGGGCGATATGGGAAAATCTTGGAGAAATCCACATGAAATTTCCATCGAATGAGGAAGCACTTCAAATTACAGATAACTTTTGGAAGCGGTGGAAGTTCCCAAATTGTATAGGATGCATTGATGGGAAACATATCCGTATCAAAGCCCCTGCAAACTCTGGCAGCATGTTCTACAATTATAACCATTTTTTTTCAATCGTCCTACAAGGTATTGCTGGCCCAGACTTTAGATTTATTGCAATAGAAGTTGGGGCTTATGGCAAAGAAAGCGATGGTGGGATATTTTCGAATTCACGTTTATCGAAGCGGTTAGAAAATGGTTCCCTCAATGCTGCTTCTGAACGACAATTGCCGGGTACCAACGTATTTTTGCCTCACGTACTAATAGCAGATGAAGCATACCCTTTAAAAACGTACTTAATGTGCCCCTATCCTGAAAGAAGCTTAGGACCTGAGGAAGAATACTATAATAGACGTTTGTCATTAGCTAGACAAGTCGTTGAATGTGCCTTTGGAATAATGACTAGCAAATGGAGACTACTAACTAAAAGTATGGAAATTCACCTCCAAAAAGCTGACATTATTATCCAATGCATATGCCTTCTTCATAATATTGTTATTGACAGAAAGGGTTATACATTTGAACATTGAACCCACACCGAATGGCTTCCAACAAAACGCAGCCATTCGAGCACGTAACAGAGGTGAAAACCATGCTGTTAGAAGAGCATATGCTATTCGAGAACAATTTAAGTCTTTTTTCAATAATAATCGTATATAATTTTTTCTAGCATTAAGAAGAAAAATATTCTGTACTTAAAAAAATTAATGTTTGTTTACAAAATACATACCTGTACACTTCTTTCCAAGCCTTTCTTTGCAAATCTCTCAAATGGTAATTTTCACTATTTAAATTCCACAAACACTCTTGTTCGTGAACCAACATTATTAGTCTTTCTGTATCCATTTTTTCCTATACAGAAAATTAATAAGCACGCACGACTATAGCACAAAATCCAAACCCGTTTGGATCGAGTCGCTTGTCGGTCCTATACGTGCGTAGTCGTACGAGCAAATCGTCTGCAGTGTGAGAACAGATATGCATTTACGTAAGTTGGGAACCTTACTTAATCATCTGATTACACACGACTCCAAGTCGCACATAGTCGGCTTCAATACGAGCGTACCCTAAAGCAGTTCAATAGACTTGCAAATATGTAATATCAAAGATATTAGTGATCTAAGGGCGTTCAAAAATACGTGAATTAGTTAGTTCCTAGATAAACCTTTCTACATTGTAACTATGTGATCTGTTATCCCTCTACTGGAATGTTTTGTACTCTGAGGTAGCTTGCAGTCTTCAGATCGCTTTATGCATCTGATAACAATGTATCTGACATTTTGACGATTTTCACTGTTTGGATAGATTGAATTCGATGTTACCTGGTTATTTAAAAAAAAAAACACTTTTTTTTAGAAATATGAAAATTGCTGGTCAAATATCATTGTAACTGCATACATCCGACAATAACGGTAAAGATCGTTACTGTTTTACTGAATCTTAAAAGCGGCATTGTAAAGTATTATACGACTCATCGATTACACTAAAACATGCCTGTCTTTAAAACATCCTTGCACGAAAAAGATATTACTTCTGACGCAGTGTAAGGTGTGTTACAATGTTGTTGCAGTGAATAAAAAATTTACAAAAATATACCGCACAAATGCAGTTACAATGTACTTACGCGGATATTTCAGTACGCCAGCAAGCTGGCAAAGCTGAAAAGCAAAGGAGTACTTCAATTTTAAATGAAATGCGTATGAAAATGGGATTCCTCTTGCACATAATAAGCTTTTGTCGTTAGGAAAAAAAGTATAATTACTTTATGTTCATGGTAGACAAGGTCTCAGTTATTCTATTTCTATTTATATACATATCCTTGGGAAATCTCACATTTTCCTTCTTTATTTATCTTATTTTTAACCAAAGATAGATTTAGATTTTTTATACGTAAGTAAGTGATATAATAGATTATAGATTATTAAAAAGTTATGCCTAGTATTCATTCATTAGGATTATTCCAACATTGCCGATATCGTAACATTGTATTTCAATGCTGTAAAACTTTGGTAAGTAACTTTCAGGCAAAATGTATCAATAACAGTAATTGTATTTGCTCTTAAAATTTGGAAAAGCTGCTCAGGTAGCAAGGAAGAACACTGTACTTCACCTTATTATGATTATACAATAAAAATTTTGGTCATATTGTAATTACATATTTTTTGTTTTCCCCATGTTTTTTCTCTACATATGTGAAATTTCTCATTCTTTAATAGCCTTTCCAGTGCCGTAAGTCACAATACTACTACAGTTGCTAAACATTTGAAATGGCTCTCCTGAGAATTTTACAATCGTCACTAACAATGTTATTAGATGCATGTATCGATACGCTATATCATTTATTTATAAAGAACTGTATATACCATCCTTGAGTCTGTAAATTGAGCATTATTATGTTGTCGGCAGTAATTAGTCAAGTCTCCTAAGTCGGAGTGATGTGCGTGCATGTGCTACACCTGTCAGGTAATAGTCAGCAGTATTGTCCAAAGTCCTTGATAAATAGCTTTACCTGTGAGCGAAGCTAAGCTGGCCTGCGACGGGCTAGGCGTCCTCAGCTCATGCAGAACCGTCGTAGCAGGCGATCCACATCTAATGTCCAGCGATGCAGCCCTTAAGGGCGACGGTGATCTGCTGTTGCCTCCTGTCCCGCAAGCACCACTTCCGCCTATGGGGTAACTGCTCGCGTGTCCTGCTTCCGGGTGTTGACGGCCCCCATCTGGGGCGAAGGTTCGGATCGCTGGTGAGGAGCCTCGGTGGCTTCCGCTATTGTTGCCTCCACCCTGTAATAAAAACCCCATAAACAAGTTAAGCAAAATTTCAGTGTGATTTTCCAACTAAAGTTTGTATTTTCCATGAGCTTGAAGATTTTGTATGAGCTATGGCCAAAATAAAGTAACCTTCTTAAACAAAGTAAAATGTCCGTCGAAACTTGAAACTGGTTTTTAGCATGTTTGAGATCACATTTAAATCTAGGTCTTCTTTATTCACGAATGAAGTGCCATGTTCAAGCTCATCATCAATATCACTTAATCCGCGTCTAGCAAACTTTTTTAAAATGATGAGTATTAAGTTATATATCATAACTCATGACCGTCCAAGGCTCCTAGCAGAATCTTTATGAGAGATGGATTTCAGCAAGGATTATACAGAATCATTTGCCTCGCCTTAAATAATAATATACTTAAATCTGTTTCTGAATTCTGAAACTTTACTGCCCTTTGCTTCACTGAGCCGACAGCTAATTATATTGAGTCATTTCACTTTTGCGACATTTCTGGTAAAATACTTCTACTATTTCAAAAATACCCTGCACAAAAATAATGGGAAAACTCTTTACGGTGGAATTGAATGGGTAATTAACAAACCAATAGTCGATACCACAGTAATGAAAAGTGCCTGTGGGACCTGGGTCCATAAACTCAGTTTTCGATCAAAATTTCAAACTCCTACATTTAACATAGTGTAGCATTTTTCTGGGTTCTTTTGGGTGTGAATTAAAATACTGGATCCCACAAAAAGAAATGCACCACTTTATTTAACTTGATAAAACATTTATATGCACCAGTATTTATGTCTGACTAATTCTTATGTCACCAATGACTGCACTATACTTCACTCCACTCTGCTACTCTACCGTATTCAGTACTCTACCTCCATCTCTCGGCCGCTGAGTTATATATAGTCCCAATTCTGCTTCGAGAAAAACCGGGTGTATCACAAAGCGACATCCAGAATGTTGGAGATCACTTCTCGTCGATCTAGAAGGCGATCCACTGTCACGGTCCTCACAGTCGCCGCCAGGCGGCTTGTGCGGTCGTGTAAAAGTAGAGATCGGCCATTAAGCTCTGGCGAGAAGGAGACTCGCCCAACAGATGGCGCTATTTGTCACA